TAGCGAGTGGGGCCTACTCTTCGTTGCTACTCTTCGTTGCGGTGCTTGGGCTTCTTATCGCAGTGGCTTCTCTTCTGGAGCACAGGCTCTGGGCGCATGGGCTCAGTAATTGTGGCTCACAGGCTCTAGAGTGCAGGCTCAGTAGTTGTGGCGCACGGGCTTAGTTGCTCTGCGGCATGTGGGATCTTCCCAGACCAGGGCTCGAACCCGTGTCCCCTGCATTGGCAGGCAGATTCTTAACCACCGCACCACCAGGCAAGTCCCTCATATGTCTTATTGACGAGAGGCAACAAGAGGGAGAACTGCATGCTCCCTGGGGAGCAGCTGTTGGGCATTTGATTGAAGCACCGAGACATCCAGAGGACAATTAAATTGAGTACTGAATATGGATAGTTTTGAATGGCTTTTATTACCATGTTGTGAACTGACTTCAAGTTGCTAAGAGCAGCTCCATCTCAGCTTGCTCTTACCGGGTGCTGAGACATCACTCCGAGTTTTCCAGTATGGCAGGACTTGCAAGATGCTCTGGGCTTGTGAAGTGACATGTGTGCTCCTCGGCTGTCTGAAAACCTCAGCGGCTGTACTGCCACCTTTAGCTGGAGTGACCCTACTGGAGCCGTTAAATGGAGAATCTCTATCTCAGTCTGACGTGTGTGTAAGTCTTTATATCATTAGTCATTAACTATGCTTGGGAAGTTAAATGCCCATGAAGCTCTTACAAACAAACATAGGTCTCTGGGGTTTTGGAGAGAAAAACAAAAACTGTCTGGATGATAATTTGTAGCTATGATTATTTATGAGCAACAGAGTGCAGCGTGTTGGGTTGGGAATGATCATCTCTGCATTAGCGACTCTAAGTAAAATGGAGCCACGGTGAACACAGAGTGAATTCTCGGTCAGTAGACTGGCTTGAGGTCAAGACAGGAAACAGTTACGTGGAACCGGCATTTCCCAGGTCAGCACCAACGTCTTAGGGTTAATTCCACTGCAAAAATTTGAGTATTAATGGAATCTCGTAGGATGCCGGATGGTGATTGGGCAACAGACCTAATGAAATTCCCTGCTTTGGAACTGGTTTCTGTGGGAAGCAGGACCCTGTTGCTGGGGCAAGCTGGGCGTGTGGATGGCTGGAAGGGAGTGTGGGGGAGGCTGTTGGAGCCATGGTGCAGGTAGACTCTGCCAGCCTTTTTTGGTTGGTTACCCACTTTTAAGAAAATGTGTCTATAACTGTCATATTACTTAATTTTCATAGGAAACATACTCAGTGAATAGCTTGTATAAAAAAGGAACTGAAGGGCTTCCTTGGTGGCGCAGTGGTTGAGAGTCTGCCTGCCAATGCAAGGGACACGGCTTCGTGCCCCGGTCTGGAAAGATCTCACATGCCGCGGAGCGGCTGGGCCTATGAGCCATGGCCGCTGAGCCTGCGCGTTGGAGCCTGTGCTCCACAACGGGAGAGGCCCCAACAGTGAGAGGCCCGTGTACAGCAAAAAAAAAAAAAAAAAAAGGAACTGAAAAACTTAATGTCTTAAAAAACAAAAAAGAGGCTTCATTCCATACAGACTTCTGAACACGGTTATTGTATTCCAGTTCTGTGGAAGAACAACTCTGGAGGCTAGCCCACTTATCAAATTTTCTTTTCTTTTCAGAAATAGCTTAGGAGCAATGCTGCTTGGGGTCCACGTATGAATTTTCGCTGATTTTTGAGACTTTGGCCATGTGTTCTTTAAGCCCGTCTTCTGCCCCATCATATCCAAACATTTTATGCACCAGCAATATTCCCAAGTATTCCAGCAGAAAATCTGGTATGTCTTGAAAAAAATCACTTCCATGACTTATTAATGAACTAACTAGGCATAATTTTCATTGGGTTCATTTACCCAAATTTATCATAGAGTATCATTTAAGAAGAAAAAAAATAGATGGAGTAATTGAATCGAAGTCCTTTTTGGAATAATATTAACATTCCAGGATCTCCACCCCCATGGATATTTCAGTTGCCAATGTGTCAAATTTCCCCTTCAAGAAAATGAGGTGCAAATCCCTTCAGTACAAGGGCTGCCTCTCTTCTGTTTGCCCCTCAGACTCCCTCCTCCCTCTTCCCTGCCCTGTTGTGGTTCTGGAGGTGCCTTGTGTAGACCAAATCAATGCGCTCCTTGCCCTATGGCTTCCAGTGGGTTTAGGTAATGCAGGGTGGATGGTGCAGAGTGAGATCAGGGTACTTTTTTTTTTTTATTGAAGTTTAGTTGGTTTACAGTATTGTGTTAGTTTCAGGTGTACAGCAAAGTGATTCAGTTTCATACATATATATATATATTTTCCAGATTCTTTTTCATTGTACGTTATTACAAGATATTGAATATAGTTCCCTATGCTGTGCATCAGGTCCTTGTTGTTTATCTGTTTTATATATAGTAGTGCGTATCTGTTAATCCCAAACTCCTAATTTATCCCTTTCCCCTTTGGTAACCATAAGTTTGTTTTCTGTGTCTGTGAGTCTGTTTCTGTTTTGTAAAAAAGTTCATTTGTATCATTTTTTAGGATTCCACATATGTGATATCATATGATACCTGTCTTTCTCTGTCTGACTGCGCTTAGTATGATAATCTCTAGATCCATCCATATTGCTGCAAATGACATTATTTCATTTTTTAATGGCCAAGTAATACTCCATTGTGTATATGTACCACATCTTCTTTATCCATTCATCTGTTGGTGGACATTTAGGATGCTTCAATGTCTTGGCTATTGTAAATAGTGCTGCTGTGAACATTGGGGTGCATCTATCTTTTAAATTAGAGTTCTTGTCTTTTCTGGATATATGCCCAGGAATGGGATTGCTGGATCATATGGTAACTGTATTTTTAGCTTTCTAGGGGACTTTCATACTGTTCTCCATAGTGATTGTACCAATTTACATTCCCAGCAACAGTGTAGCAGGTTCCTTTTTCTCCACATCCTCTCCAGCATTTATTATTTAGAGACTTTTTGATGATGTCCATTCTGACCGGTGTGAGATGATACCTCATTGTAGTTTTGATTTGCATTTCTCTAATAACTAGTGATGCTGAACATATTTTCATGTACCTGTTGGCCATCTGTATGTCTCCTTTGGAGAAATGTCTATTTAGGTCTTCAGCCCATTTTTTTTTTTAAGTTTGTCTTATCTTTTTAAAAAAAATTATTTTATTTTTGCCTGTGTTGGGTCTTCGTTGCTGCACACGGGCTTTCTCTAGTTGCGGCGAGCAGGGGCTACTCTTTGTTGCAGGGTGCGGGCTTCTTACTGTGGTGGCTTCTCTTGTTGCAGAGCACAGGCTCTAGGCATGTGGGCTTCAGTAGTTGTGGCTCGCGGGCTCTAGAGCGCAGGCTCAGTAGTTGTGGCGCACGGGCTTGGTTGCTCCACGGCATGTGGGATCTTCCTGGACCAGGGATCGAACCCATGTCTGCTGCATTGGCAGGCAGATTCTTAACGACTGCGCCACCAGGGAAGCCCACATTCTTTTTTCTAAATATTCTTTTCCATTATGGTTTGTCATAGGATATTGAATATAGTTCTTTGTGCTATACAGTAGGACCTTGTTGTTTATCCATCCTGTATATAAAAGCTTACATCTGCTCACCCCAACCTCCCACTCCATTCCTACCCCAACCCTCTACCCCTTGGCAACCACAAGTCTCTTCTCTACTTCTGGGAGTCTCATCAGTGTCTTATAGTTTTCGGAGTATAGGTCTTTTGCCTCCTTAGGTAGGTTTATTCCTAGGTATTTTATTCTTTTTGATGTGATGGTAAATGGGATTGTTTCGTTAATTTCTCTTTCTGATACTTTGTTGTTAGTATATAGGAATGCAATAATTTTCTGTATATTAATTCTGTATCCTGCAACTTTACCAAATTCATTGATGAGCTCTAATAGTTTTCTAGTGGTTTTCACAGTGACAGTGTTACTTCTTCCTTTCCAGTTTGGATTCCTTTTACTTCTTTTTCTTATCTAATTGCTGTGGCTAGGACTTCCAAAACTATGTTGAAAAGAAGTGTTGAGAATGGGCATTCTTGTCTTTTCTTGATCTTAGAGGGAATGCTTTCAGCTTTTCACCATTGAGTACAGTAAGTCCCCTACATATGAACCTTCAAGTTGCAAACTTTCAAAGATGCAAACATGTGTTCCATCAACATCAGGCATGAATGAAGTTGCAGCTTGCCCTCTGTCTCCTATTGCTGACCATCCTTCAGCTCTACCATCTTCCACTTCCTCCGCCTCCTCCAGTCAGTAATTCTTCTTGCCTGTTGACTCAATGCCAGCCCCTGGATGCCAGCTGTTGTACTGTACTACTGTACTTTTCAAGGTACTGTACTGTAAGATTAAAAATGTTTTATTTTTCGTGTTTGTTTTTTATGTATTATTTATGTGAAAAGTATTATAAGCCTATTACAGTACTATATAGCCAATTGTATTAGTTGGGTTCCTAGGCTAACTTTGTTGGACTTATGAACAAATTGGACTTACAAATGTGCGCTTGGAATGGAACTCATTCGTATGTAGGGGACTTACTCTATGATGTTAGCTGTGGATTTGTCATGTATGGCCTTTATTATGTTGAGGTATGTTTCCTCTTTGCCCACTTTCTGGAGAGTTATCATAAATGGGTGTTGAATTTTATCGAAAGCTTTTTCTGCATCTGTTGAGATGATCATATGGTTTTTCTTCAATTTGTGAGTGTGGTGTATCACACTGATTGATTTGCAGATATTGAAAAATCCTTGTATCCCTGGTATAAATCTCACTTGGTCGTGGTGTATGATCCTTTTAATGTATTGTTGGATTTGTATTTTGTTGAGGTATTTTTGCTAGTATTTTGTTGAGGATGTTTGTATCTATATTCATCAGGGATGCTGGCCTGTAATTTTCTTTTTTTGTGATATCTTTGTCTGGTTTTGGTATCAGGGTGATGGTGGACTCATAGAATGAGCTCAGAAGTATTCCTTCCCCTGCAGTTTTTTGGAATAGTTTCAGAAGGATAGGCGTTAACTCTAAATGTTTGGTAGAATTCACCTGTGAAGCCATCTGGTCTAGGACTTTTGTTTGCTGGGAGTTTTTAAAATTACGGATCCCTTTCTGAAGCCCACAGCACCTGTCTGGAAGCCCCCTCCACAAGCCGCTTCCTTTCCCACTCCCTTCAGGCCACACCAGCCCAGGGTTAGTTTCCCTACATGCTGCCAAGACCTTTGTTAGTATTCTACTTATTAAACTCTTAAATTCTCCCAATTGGAGTGTGCCATCTACTTCATGCTGGGATCATAACTGATACAAATAAGCACTGATCCACAGAGATAATAAATAAGAGGGTTGCTGACCTCTTGGTGGCTAGCAAAGATTAAAAAGGGGCTGAATTAGCCCAGGCAAAGCATTACTGTCTAAAATCCCAGCCCAAACCTTCCTTCAGGAAACCTGCCCTTCTGCCTCTGTGAATGTTGCCCCATCTCTGGATGGTTTTAGCCCTTTCAGGTTCAAAGCCCTAAGCCTCTGCATGTCAGGCTGGGAGCACCCCGTGATTGGTTTGGCATGTGTTTTGGAGAGTAACTTGGATCCAGCAGTGGGGAGATCTTTTGCTGAAAGTCACAGGATATGGAATGTGAATCATTGATTTTTCCAGTGTGTCTCTAACATGACCCTTTTATTACTTGACTCATAGCTGGTACATGTGTTTTAGGAAAAATGACTGTTGTTATGGAAAATCTGTGTCCCCTCAAAATCCATATGTTGATGTCCTAATGCTCCATGGTGAGTATTTGGAAATGGGCCTTTGGGAGATAATTAGGGTAAGATGGGGTCATGGGGGTGGGGCCCTCATGATGGGATTAGTGCCTTTATAAGGAGAGAAGCCAGAGAGCTTGATGCTCCCTCACCCTTTACCCTTTGCAGACACACACCACAGAGAGCTCATGTGAGCACACAGCAAGACAGCAGCCACCAACAAGCCAAGCCAGGAGAAAAGGGCCTTAGAATGAAACCTACCTTGCTGGCACCTTGATCTTGGACTTCCCAGGACCTCCAGAACTGTGAGAAATAAATTTGTTGTTTAAGCCACCCAGTATTTTGTTATGGCAGCCTAGGACAAACATGTAGATGTTGTCCTATAAAAGTAATCTGGTTTGGTAGTCCTCCCTTTTACCAATTTCTGTTTTGGTAATTCTTCCTTACAGCCCACTTTAACATTAAAGACAATGGGGGCTTTATGGCTGAAATTCAAGCTTTAAAGGCCTGGCTGAACTTGGAAGTGAGCAAATTTTCTCAATTTTGCCAAATGAAAAAAATCCCTTTAGCTATGGATGCTGAGAAGGCTGGGCTTTTGGTTCTATCCTAAGTGGAAGTGGGAAGGTGCTCACAGAATGATGCCAAGCACCAGCAGCTGTACAGTTTCCATTTTATTTTGTGTGTTTTTTTATAGGATATAAATAATGACAAAAATTACAAAATTTATAACTGGAAGCCCAAGCATATTTACATGTTTCCTTTTCAGCAAAGCTACTATTTACTTTGCTCCTATACAGTTTCTTTTTGGTACCATATTTTAGGGTTATTTTACTCTCAATTTACTACATACATATCAACAGTGAATAGGCAAAATATATACAAGGAACTGTTCAGTTCAAGTAATTTAATATTGTATTAAAATTCTCCAACACTGAACTAAAACCATATACATTTGTCAGTTTGAAATAAAATTTAGTTGTCTTTAAAACTCACCAACTGATGAATGTAACTGATAATCTCAGGTTTAAAATAATATTGGTTAATTAAAAAAAATTAAGACAATCCCACAATTTATCAATATCGCTTATTATAATGAACTCCAAAATGATTCACAATATGATTGGTTAGAACAATATACATTAAAATGTTATTTTTTCTATAATGATATTGGTACTGTTTATATAATTTGATTCTACATAAATATACATTATGGTATCATACAAATACTCCACAGAGACATTAAAAAAATTAAAATACCTTAATGAAATGTAAGTAAATTTTATTTAATCAAAGAGTAAGCAAACATTTATTTATTTATTTTGTTTCAAGAAAAGAGTTTTATTACTTTGGAATCTCTATTTTTTTTTTTGTATTTGTGTTTTTCTAGAAAAGAAAATTTTTTTTTGCAATAGAATTTTATTAACACCTTTCTCAAACAAACAAGGTTTCCATGACAGAAATCTTGACAGCAGGAGCCCTAGATTTTTTGTTTAACATGTTTTTCTAAAACTGTGAAGTTTAAAAAAAAAAAAAAATCTTTGCAGGCTTATGGCTGTGTCAGCACTTTCGGTAAGACGCCAGCCTGCTTGCCCAAATCTCCTGCTCTAGTGAGCGTCTCTGGTACCGTACTTTGCAACGCCCAAGCCAGTTCTCTTGGTAGTAGCAGTAGAAATTTAGTTATTTGAAATGAAAGCAAAACATCCCTCACAACTAACCTAGTTTTCTTATCAATGTGTTAGTGAAACATTCTTTTAATAAAAATATTTAATACAAGACACATTTTTCTGTGCATAATAAATTCCTCTGTTTTAAATCATTAAGTTTTTGAATCAATCCATAGATGTAAAGGTTTTCTTTATCTGACATAGTTGATTACATATAAAATCCACAAATATAGAAATTGGGAAATAGGATTTCCTGGCAATCGGGTACTTTTTGTCCTTTTGCATGAAAGGATACTCAGTGAGATAATGATTTTACAGATGCTTTCTGGGGGTAGTTCTGTTCTCATTCTACCTTGAAAACTGCTGACAGTGAAAAATAAACCCAAGATTTTTATACTTTTAGGCAGTATTAGAGATCCCCTGTATTTTTTTTCTTAAGGTATTATCCCCAAATACAGCAAAGCAAGTGTTGGGGCAAAGTCACTAGAAATACCTTGGGTGGTAGCAGGGAGGGGAGTCGGGACAGTGAGCCACAAATCTCAACTCATTTCTCTCAGGGGTTACGACTGGAAAGTCTTGGTTGCACTTTCTGTCACTGGTGCAGAAAGAACGTCCCCAGGAATGGCCAGTGGCCTTTCGCCCGTGACAAGGCCACACAAACAGCAGTCTTCCTCCTGCGCCGGGTGGAAAGCCTGCTCCGGGACTGCTCGGCGTGCAAGGCACCGCGAGGACGGGAGGACGGTGAGTATCAGAAAATTGTGGTCTCATACTTGGTATTTATTCCCCTCTTGGTTTCTTGTCCCGGCTCCACAATCCACGGCAGATTGGCCAGAGTCTTTTGCTCAGATGGGTCGATCTGCTTTAAAACAGAAAGGCTGATGCCCGTTATACGGTACCTGCCTGGGGTTGCACACATGCATCCTAACGCTGCCTGGAAACCATCACTGTGCTCTGGCAGGACCTCAGGATGTTGGGGGCGTGAGAGTCCTCTGTTCGTTCTTCTGATACACATTTACTGCAAGGCACTGGGCGGGGGGGATGGTGAGTGAGACACAGCCCTTGCTCTTGAAGGCACACAGGTGGGGAGCAGACGTAGGAATACTTTACTGAGAAGTGAGATTTGAGGGGGAAGAAGGTGCTCTGTGGGCACCCAGGAAGGCCACTGACCCATGTCAGGAGCCAGGGGGGCTTCCTAGAGAAGGTGAACCAGGCTATGTCCTGCCTGCCTCTCAAGCCTCCAGTGGTTTCCATTACAGTCAGAATAAACCCAGAGTCCTCGAGGTGACCCACGGTGGCCCTGTCCGCCTGCCTTTCTACGCTCCAGCCACACCGGCCTCCCTGCTGCTCCCTGTACACCAAGCCCCAGCCCAGACCCTCTGTGCTCATCACCTCTCTGCCTGAATACTCTCCAGACACCTGCCTGCTTTATGCCCTAATGTGAATCAGGGTGCAGTTCAAACATCACCTCCTCACCAGTTTACCCCAAGCAAAATAGCACCTCAACTTTTCTGCTTTCCTCTGCTGTCTCTTCTTTATAATCCTTTTGCCACATACATCATGTCCACTACAGTGTATGCTTATGAAGGTGGGATTCTGTCTGTTCTGTTTACTCCTGTTTCCCTCAAACTCAGAAAAGCTCCCGGCAACCCACTAAACAGTAGGCACCCAATAAATACTTGTTGACTAGACATTATTTAAAAGTTAATTAAGGTAATGTCTAAACGGAGAGCTGGAGGAGAAGCAAGAGTTTCCTGGTAAAGGCAGGGGGCGTGGAGCAGCATGTGCAAGGTCCCCGAGGTAGGGAAAGAGGCTGGCTGAGGGCTTGCAGTCAGGTCGCCGAGGGCACCTGGCGGGGAGACAACTGAGGGTGAAGAGGTGAGTGGGCCCAGGTCAGGGTGAGCCTTGAACCAAACTGAGCTGTAAAACGTCAACACCATTTCAGCCCCTGCGTGTACAAGGTTAAACAGGCCCTTTCTGGGTGAAGCTTGAGTTCTGAGCTCTCACGGGCGGCCTGGGGCAGTTCTCCACCAGATTGCTGCCTCTTTCTTTAGTGTTTCCATGTCTCCCCCTGGCCCTGGCCACCTGCTCTGCTCAGGAAACCGGAGCAAGGGAGCTGTCCGAAGAGTGCGGGGGTCTGTGCCCGTCGGCCACCTGCAATTTGACTGTGTCTCCACAAGGCTGTGGGCAGGACTCTACATGTCTAATCATGGGCTGTTTCTCAAAAATAAACTACTGGGGCCGAGGGAAAGGGAACACAGACACCTATTGAGGGGGACAGGATCTTGGGGTAGTTAAAGGACAGCAGTATTATTCCCTGTATGTTTCATATTTTTCAGTGAAGGCTTCTAAATGAGTATTCTGAGCTCTTACGGCACCCACCCTTTGTGCTCATCTGGAAGAAATCTATGGGGACCAGACAAAAGTCAGATGGAGGTCCCTGCCACGAACAGATTTACCCAGCCCACACAGGAATGAATACAGTACTCTAAGAGCTGATTCCCCCAAATGTTCTGAACATTCCTGGACATTTGACTTGCTTTTCTTGTGGGATAAGATAGACAGACAATAAACAAGATAAGCCAGGAGAAGCCTGGGTGGTCAGCTGGGCCCTGGGTGACAAGCCAGAGTCAGCCGTGCAGAAACAAGGTGGAGACAAAGCCAGGTGGAGGGAACAGGGGGCACAGAGGCCTTAGGTGGGAGTGAGCTTTGTTTGTTTCCAGGAAGAAGAAGGCCTGAGTGTCAGAGAGGAGTGTGGTGGGAAATTGGGGCAGTGGTACCATGATCTGATCTGTGTTTTAAGAAGGTCACCCTGGTTGCCGGGCAGAGGAGGGGAGTTTTTAGGAGATGTATGGGAGTATTTTGGAGATTACTGGTGGTGATGGCTTGGATAGGAAGAGTGACGGAGGAAATGGAGAGGAGTGGACGGGTCTGAGAGATGTTTTAGGGGCTGAGCGGATGGAATCTGCTTGTGGGGTGGACACAGGTGAGAGGAAGACAGAAATCAAGGGTGTCTTCTAGATTTATGGCTTGAGCAACATGGTGAACGGTTATGCCATTTACCGAGCTGGGAGAGACAGAGAAGCAACTTTGCGGAGAGATCAAGAATTCTGTTCTGGACACACGTGTGCTAAGCCTCGAAGGAGAAATGAGGGAGCAACTGAACCTGCTGTTCTGGGAGTGCTTCAGGATTGGGAGCCAGTGGGGCCGGGAGGGGCTGAGGTGGGGGGACTGGGGGTCAGAAGGAAAGTCAGAGGATGCTTGCAGTTACTGGTGATCAGTGATGTGGGGTGAGCGTGGGAGTGAATGGTGAGGTGGGGGAAGAGGTCTGAGAGGTGAGCTGTCAAGGAGCAGAGGGGCCACACGCTGGGAGGATCAGCCCCATGGATGTTGAAGTTGCCAAGAATGGAGACAGGAGTAGAGGCCAAAGAGAAGAGCGTGAACAAGAAGCCACATGGTCACAAAAGGTGGTGCCTCTGCAAACATTAAAAACCCTACAATTCCCCACGACTCCGGGGACAGGGCTCGGTGGGGAGGAGGAGGAGTCACAGGCGGAAGGATACGTGGGCTGAGCGATGCCTCTGAGGGTGCCTGCTGCCCTGAGTCCCCGAGTTTCTAGGATGCCATACGGCAGCAGAAACCAGACGGGAGGCTTCCAGCTTCTGGGTATTGCTACCACCAGAGGAGGCTGCTTTGAAGTCATGAAAGTCTGTTAGGACAGGATGTGTGCAGAGCGTGTGGGAGGGAAGGGGGGAAATTTCTGGAGGGAGGCAGATGCCGGGGAGGAGGGGCAGTACCTTCTGAACAGTCCCCGCTCTGCAGGAAGCCTGCGCCTAGGCCTCCTTGTCAGGCCCGCGTACAGCCTGCACCTCCAGCCTCCTCTAGCTGGGTACCAGGGATGCCCTCCCCATGAGCCTCTGCTACCCTCTCTGCTCCCCAGCGGCTTGTGAGAGGCTTGCCCCCTAGAGGGATGGCAGCCGGGGCCTCAGGGAGCCTTTTTCCCAAGATCGCCTGGAGCTTGAGGAAAGACTCCCCCGGGAGGCCAGCAGCGCCCAGTCCCCTCACAGGCTGCTGCAAGGGACAAAAGAAGTGGAATTTTCTTGGGAGCCTCCAAGTTCAGGCAGATGGTCCCCAAGACTTCGCAGGAACTGGGCTGAGAGGAGGACAGACACATGCCAGGATGAGGCCAAGGGAAGGACAAGAAGGGCAGGCCCTGGATTCTCGCCAGCCCCAACGGCACCAAGGATCCCTCCCCTCCAGTTCAAGGTTTTCAGAACATCTGTCTTTTCTACTTACCACCGACTTGCGAATGCTGACTCGGGGCTTGGGGATGGGCTTGGAGGGCTTGTTTTCAAAGCTTTCTGGAAGTGTGGAGGAATGCCCCCCTTTCCTGGCTTGCAGCGCGAGCTGGTAAGCAACTTCAAATGCCTGTCCCAACGTTAGGATGATCTCGTAGGCTAAATTCTGCAAGAGAAATGAGAAAGCATTTATGACAGCATCTTCCAGATCAGAACAGAGTGGCTGAGGAACACCGAGTGGGTTCGAACCCTGAACTGCTCCACCTGATGTGGCAGAGAGCCAGGGGAAATTTGACAAACAGGACACTGGGTCCAATTTAGGGTCTGTACGAGGCATCAGTTACTGACGCGATGCACTTGCTTACAGCCACCTGAGGAGCCTGCGCCGGGACCCCGGAGCCCGCTCCATCCGGGGTGGCTGCTTTGCTCCCAGGTCTCGGAAGGGAAGGGGTCCCTCAGCCTGGGAGGAGGATCCCACACACTCCACAGGAGGTGTTCCTGAGAAGTTGGGGTCTTTTTACTTCCAACATCTGTGATTCAGTGAACATCTCTGAGACACAATCAAAATCTAATTTAGGCAGAGGGGAGAGGCATTAGTCATGCTGGTGTGGCGTCTCACACTCACAGCGAGCATGCAAACAGAGCCAATTATCCAGCTATTTCTTGAGGCGTTTGCTCTCCCTGTGGGTCCACTCCATATTTTATTATCAAATCAGCAAGAGACAGGAGATCCTGTTAGGCTCGAATGCCATGCCAAGCAGTGTCTGGGAGAGAAGTTCTTTCCTTCGGACCTTCAGTCACTCCCCTCAGGACGTCTAGCTTCTCGTCTCCAGATTCGTACTTCATTTCTGCCTTCTCTTCTGAGCACAGTCCCACCCTGTCTGCTCTCACTGAGAAAACAGGACATGGTCTGACCCCACAGAAGCAGGGTCTCGACAAGACCCTGAGGTCACAGCGCATCAAAGAGCTGGATGCCTGTGGGTCACAGAGAGCTTTCTTACAGCCACTGCACCAGCTGAGAGCCGGCGTGGTCTGTCCCAAGTTTCCATGCTCACGAACGCCCCTAGAAAGTCTGTGTGGTTTTTTCCTCAAAACCACAGAAATTGCTTTTGCTGATGTTGCACCCCTGCTCCCTCCGCCCCAGTCAAGCACACAGAACATCTTGATTCCCATGATTCTGGGGAGATCCGCTGAGGACTGTTCTCACTTGACGAAGATGGAGGGAGACGCGGCATGGCTGTCAGGGCTCGTGTGGAAGAGGCCCACGGATCTCCAGACGGACCAGATTTCAGATCCACGCCGGACTTCCGGGGTTTAGGCCCAAGCCTGAGGGGAAACGCCTCTGAGTGGGAGAACTGGTCTGACAGAGGACGTGTCTTCTCCTCCGAGCTACTTGTTAAGAAGCCGTGGCCCCTCAAGACAGACGTGTGCTGACTGGAGACCCAGCCGTGCACGGCCTGCTGAGCACTTCCTGCAAGGAGCTCGGGGCCCGAGGTTGCCTCCAAGCACGCGTCAGACTAGGAAATCAGTAATGCACCGACAAGTGACAGTGGAGGGCTGGCGGACAGCTCCGGCCGTGGCTGCACCAGGAGGGCTGAACCCTCAGTGCCTACGCCTGCCTGGCACTTGCGTCACCACCAGTGTTGCCCATTGCCTGGTGTGCAATGGGTCCCCTGGAAAGGGGGCCTGGGGCTTTGGGCTTTGGCTGTCCCCATGAAGTCCGGACTCTTGTCTTATCCACAGGTGCTGTGGAGATAGTGGCTGTCTGTCTGTCAGGGACACGTAGCAGATAATTCATGCTCTGGGTGGGCAACTGGACTAAGGGAAAGATGGCAGATGCAGCAGTTCTGTAACATGTTGCTTTTTGATGCCGGAACAAAGGTGCTTAATAAGCATGAATTCCTTTATCATTAACCTAGAAACAAGTTCCTGAAAGTGAGATTTACTTAAAGTTCCAGTGTCTTCAAATGAAAGCTAAAGATGCTCATTGGAGCAGGTGAGATTTTCACAAGATTTTGATGGGAAGGCTAAAGGTTTTTGGAAGCTTCTGGGTTAGAAGCTCTGCCCTCCTTTCATTGTAAAGAAGTTGCTGGTGTTAGGAAATTGCTGAGATAAGACACAGAGACCAGACCAGACGGTGAGGTTTCCTGCCAAGCAGCTTTTCCTTAGTTTGGCTTGCATTCTTTCTCCATGACGTCTTGCTTTTCGTTTCATGTCGAATGCTGCATTTTAAGAGTTCTTTTGTGATCTGTAAAGAGTTGGAGATGGTTACCTTTCCTGCACTTTCTGTCACCTCGGTGTTGGAGGCTTCAATTCTGGATGCCAGTGACAGCCCACAAGGAGCAGCTGCTTGCTGATGGGGCTCTGCACGCGGAGTCCTGTGCAACCAAAGTACCGGGGCCCTTGAGGGCACAGATCCTCATCAGATGGGACCTGAGGACACACGTTTGAATGGGAAGGCGGGTTCATTTCTCCAGCCTCTCCTTAGTAATATCCGCACTACTTGAAATGGGAAGAGAGTTACTGTGAGAGCAGAAGACACTATAGGAAAGGGCCAAAAATGTTACCGTAATCTGATCAGAGAGGCTTAGGTGACAAGCCCCTGCTTCCTCCTTTGAGCCAGGCTTGCTGACCCCAGAGATGCTGCCTGGCACTGAAGAGCCAGGGATGCTGCTCAGAAAGCCTGAAAGCCGACTTAGTTTCTGCTTACAACATATCATTGTCTTCACAACTGTGGGAGGCCAGGGCCAGAGACTGCCTAGCACACAGTAGGCACACAATCACAATAGAGGCTTGTTTGCTGAGTGAATGAATGAATATCTAAAGGGCAAGCTGGAGTAATAACTACTACTAGTTATCACTATAGGTAGTATGGCTACCATTAAGTGAGGACTTCACAGATATTAGGCATTGTACCAAGCACTAGATTTATCTCCTTTAAGTCTTATCACAATCATCTGTAGTAGAATATCATTATCCTTATTTTATAGATGAGGAAATTGAGGCTCAGAGAGGTTAAGTAATTTATCTGACATCACAGAGCTAGGAAGTTACAGAGCAGTGGTATGAACCAATATTTGTGACTCCAAAGTCTGTGTTCTTAACTCTAATTCAAAAAGATACATGCACCCCAATGTTCAAAGCAGCATGGAAGCAACCTAAATGTCCATCGACAGATGAATGGATAAAGAAGATGTGGTGTGTGTGTGTATAATGGAATATCAGTCATAAAAAAGAATGAAATAATTCCATTTGGAGAAACATGTATGGACCTAGAGATAATCATATTAAATGAAGTAATTCAGAGAAAGACAAATATCATGATATCACTTACATGTGGAAACTTTAAAAAATGATACAAATGAACTTATTTATAAAACAGAAATAGACTCACAGATATAGAAAACTTAAGGTTACCAAAATGGGGCTTCCCTGGTGGCACAGTGGTTGAGAATCCTCTTGCCAGTGCAGGGGACATGGGTTTAAGCCGTGGTCTGGGAAGATCCCACATGCTGCAGAGCAACTAAGCCCGTGCGTCACAACTACTGAAGCCCACGCACCTAGAGCCCGTGTTCCGCAACAAGAGAAGCCACTGCAATGAGAAGCCCGTGCACCACAATGAAGAGTTGCCCCCACTCACCACAACTAAAGAAAGCCCGCGCGCAGCAGCAAAGACCCAGCACAGCCAAAAATAAACCAATTAATTTTAAAAAATTACCAAAGGGGAAGGGGGGAGGGATAAATTAGGAGTTTGAGATGAACAGATACACACTACTATAGATAAGACAGAAAAACAAGGTCCTACTATATAGCACAGGTCCTACTGTATAGCACAGGGAACCTACTATATAGCACAGGGAACTATATTACAACATCTTGTAATAACCTATAATGGAAAAGAATCTGAAAAAGAACATTATATACGTGTGTGTGTGTGTGTATATATATATATATATATATATATATATAATATATATATATGCCGGTGCCTAGGTTGTTAACTTACTGACTAGAAGTAAATCTCTTAACTTCGTATCAACTCTGCCAATCCACTGTATCTTACATTAAACATTATACTCGAACCAAATATACTTACACACACACACACACACACACATATATATGAAACTGAATCACTGTGCTGAAATCCTGAAGCACTGTACATCAACTATACTTCAAAAGTCTCTGTTCTTACCCTCCCGTGTGGGTAGCTTGTCTCCAAGGTGGCAGCCATCACCATTCCCCTTGCCTTGTGCCATGGTGTGAGGGGGGCTGTTGAGAGGGCTAATTGCTCCTCCACCTCCTTGAATCTGGACTGGTTATACTGACTTTCTTAACAGAATGTGCAGAAGTGACATGCTGGGACTTCTGAGGTTACATTGTGAGAGGTCTCTCAGCTTTCATGGAACATTCCCTCTGAGGGAAACCAGCCATGTATAAAAAGTCTGACGTCCCTGAGATCACCATGTTGTGAGTATGTCCAAGCTGGCCAGGGGAAGAGGCTGCCTGGAGAGAAACAGCAGTTGCAGCCACCCCAGCCCAGGCTCCAGATACGAAGCAAAGGAGTGATACTGGACATTCAAGCTCCAGGAGATGCCACACAGAGGACCAAGGCCCCAGACAGATGGCTCCAGTCAAGCCATCCCAGCATCTGCAGTCATCTGAGTTACCTAGTGGAGACCCCAGATGTTGTGGAGCAGAAGAGCAGAACTGCTGTGCTCTGCCCAAATTCCTGACTCTCAGAATCGTAAACGTGATAAAGTGCATGTTGTTTTACAGCACTAAGTTTTGGGATGGTTTGCTAAGTAAGCAGTAATAGATAACTGGGATACCATGCAGTGCTAAGGAAGGCTGGCTGGACCCTCATTCAGGTGGTGGAAGAGGAACCATCAACCTGTGAGCTGGTCACAATTAGCAAACTGAATCCAACAAAACATAAAGATCATACACCATGACCAAGGTGGATTCATCCCAGGATCACGAGGATAGTTCAAGATACACAAATCAATCAATGTGATATACCACATCAACAAAAGAAAAGGTAAAAACCACATGGTCATCTCAATAGATGCAGAAAAAGCATTTGATAAAATTCAACATCCATTTATGATAAAAACTTACAAAAGTGGGTATAGAGGGAACATATCTCAACATAATAAAAGCTAT